CTGCAAGAAGTGGAGGCACTTGAACTTAGCCTCCCTTGGTTTAATAGAGGAGACTAGTACTACAGCATTCTTATGGTAGGGATCTCATACCACGTTATCAGTTTAAAACATTTAAACAATTTAAGCATAATTGAAAGAGCATTTTCCATTAAATTTAAGAGGGGAAAATACTTTATGAACTGGGGAAAAGGATTTGAGGGCAGTCTGGTGAGCAGCAAGTCAAAATCAGTAAATCAGTATGCCAACATTTGCATGCAGGAAGGAACAACATGAGAAAATATAGGAATGAGGAAAATTGCAGAATTCAGGACATGGAAGCATGAAGGGACTTAAATCAGCTCTTATGAAACTGCATGGGAACAATATGTTCTGTGTTGCGACATGATTTTAATTCAGAGAATAGGGACTTGATCTTTTGAAAATTAGTTGTTGGAAATATGTATATAGATTTACACAAAACCATATTAGTCCCAAGGTAAAATATCTTAATCTCTGTGTGACTTTTGTACTTTATTTTTGTAGGCTCTTTAATTTTATTGATTGCTTGCTTTAAATATATTGTCTCTTCCAATCACTAAAATTCAAATTTAAGGTACTCTATCCCCAACACTTAATTTAAGTGTTCTTTATGGACATTTGCTTAAATATTATAAGTGTAAATGATGGGAGAATCACAACCTGGAATAATAGGAGAAATAAGTTATAAGTCTGGCAGTCCAGTTTCTTTTAGGATGAATTAAGGGCAATGGTAATGATCAACAGATTTCTGGGAGGCGGAAAGAAGAGACCCTAAAAGTACATAGTTTGTTCCTCTAGGCATTGTTTTCCCTTAAATATAAGCTGTGGAACAAATATTTTTAATGTCTTTTCCTTCCTTATTGAAATCACAGATGGACAGTTTCACCAGTCCTTGCGAAAGCTTTGTAAAAGGGAATTAAATTCATGTTAATATTGTTATTAGTACAAACAGTTGTTATTAGTAATAGTGCACGAGTGAATGTTGTTTCTCCAGTTTAGTACTTTATTATACTAGAACTAAATTACATGTGCAGTAACCACTGCACATTAATGAATGCATAGACATGCACAGAGTGAAGCAAACTGGTAGGAAGAGGGAAATAGTAAAATATCCCTTTAACGAGGCCTTTTGCATTTCAGTTTTTAAAGTGCTATAGTGTTCAGTATTGTGAATTATTACTAGATGCACAACTGGCAACAGTGATGAGAAATTCCTTTTTCTATGTTTGGCTAGGAAAGAAATTGCTTTTATTGCTCTCAGGTAAAACTTAGTATCATAGAGAGTTTAAGGTCAGAAGGGACTAGGTGATCATGTACTCAAGTCATGTTGTGTTACAGGCTGTTAATTTTTATTCAGATACCCTTATATTAAGACTGAAGATATTAATTAGATTAAAGCTTTTAAGTCCTCAGGAGACTAAACTTTGTATTACTGGGCACATCTATATAAGACTTTTACTACCAAGCTGACTAATTAGCTCTGCAGTAAACATCTCATCGTATACACATGCATCCCTATTAGAGTGCAGGAAACTAATAAACCATGCTTTGGAGCTTTTTTGTGTGCAGTAGCACACATGTATACATTGACGCGGCTGGCTGGGGTCCAGAAGTTGCACTAAAACATACCTTTTTTAAAGATATCCAATCTTATCATGAAGTGTACAAGCTTTGAGTCCACCATCTTCCATGATTAAACTTTTCCAATGTTAAATAACCCTCATATCTAGAAAGTTGTATTTTATTTCATCTTCAAGCCATTTATTCTGGTTATGCCTCTGACAGCAAGATTGAAAAACTCAGGAGTATCAGAAATCCTTTCCATGTGCAATGCAAATACCTCCACTGAGTGATCATGTTACCTCTCCATGTCTTCAACAAATTGAAGGTAATGTGGGTTTTAGGGAGATCAGCTTACAGCTTGCTTTTCAGCCCCTGAATCATTTTGGTAACCCTTTCTTGACCTATCTCTATTATTTTCACATATTAGAAAATATGTTCACACTTCATGAAGTAGCAGTCTTACTTTGTAGAGACAAGACCTGTATAGGAGCAAGACCACTTTCCAAATTCTCTTTAATATTCACCGTTCTGTATGTTGAAGGATCACATTAGCCGTTTTTGTTGCAGCATTGCAGAGAGCTCATGCTGAGTCAGTTGTCTATGATGAGCTCCTTCTCTGAGTCACTGTTTTTTGTCTCCCATTCTGAGGTTTTATTTCCCAGATGTATCATCTTGCATTTCTTGTCTTGTTTCAGAGACCTTCTTAGCTAGTTCCTTTTAAGATTCTTGGGTATATAGTATTAGGGACTATTGTTTTAAAAATGTTTAATTTTTGCAGATGTGGCCTTTTATTCTCATTTAACTTCATCCACAATATTAGATGTAGCTTCATTCCAAATAACAAACAAAAATAGCTACAAAATTTTCCTACGCCACTGTTTACTTTTACCCTCTGCTTCTAACAATGGACCTTTAACTCTCCTAGAGTGTTCCATAGTTTTAATATTATAATATTACAAAAGCCTTAGTCTTCTGTCCGTAACACTTTATTCCCACTCTGATTGGATGCCTTGGCAGTCAATCAGAGTGCTCTGGACAGACAGAGACACATAGCAGGGTGCTGGCATGACAGTGGGGACTGAGGGGTGGAGTGGGGAGGAGGGAGGCCAGTGGTGCTGCCCTCAACCCCCCCTCCCCCGCCCCCCACTCCTTGGAGGTGGAGTACTGGCTGCACAGTGCTGCCCTCACCCCGCCCCACATGGCAGAGCACCGCCATAAGAGTGAAGACTGGGGCTGGAGCTGGGGGGCAAGGCCAGCAGTGCTGCCCTTGCCCCTACCTCCTTCCCACCCTGCTCCTTGGAGCCAGAGGCTAGAGTGCCCCCCTCCCACATCAACAGCCAGGGAGGAGAGGGGGAGGCAGAGGGGAGGAAAGAAGGGGAGGGGGGAAGTGACTGGTAGCTGTACCCCACTGCAACTGCCACTGCAAGCTTCACCTCCACTGCGACCGCTGCTGCGGGCCCTGGCCCTGCTCCAAATTGGCAGGGGGGAGGAGCAGCCCCAGCCCAAACCAGCAGGGGGGATGCAGGGAGCAGCCCTGGCCCCCACCCAAAACAGTGGGGGGAGTGGCCCTGGCCTCAGCCCGAAGTGGCAGGGGGGGGGGGGGGGGGGGCCAGGCTCCAACCCGAGGCAGGGGGGATAGGACCGGACACATCCATTTGTTCCCACCCCCCAGTCATTCTTGATGGGAAATTTGCTAGTATGTTTTATAAATCTCTGTTATCTTTACTATTTTTGGTTACACATATTTGAGTTGCCCCTTTGGTTACCTTTGTCATTTACCTATATATTTTATATCTCTTGCTATTTATTTTCCCCATTTTTTCCATCCCTTTTGTGTTCATTATGTATGCCTTATTTTCTCTTCCAATTTCTTTTATTCAAGATGGCTAATAGCTAAGTGTAATTTTTTCATAGTTGTAGAATTGTAGCTTCAGACTACCCTAGTTAGTAGCTAACGTGTCCACACATCTGAAAATGGAGACTTCTTTGTCTGCTTTTTCCCTAGCCTCAGTAATCCACAAATTCATCCCTAACAGTTCATAATTAATTCTGTACAATTTCCCTGGGGCTGACTGTGAAGGCTGTGCAAAAACTTCACTAGGCTTAACATACAAAAGCCAACCTAAAACTGAGAGACAAAATGTGACACATAGCAGAACTGATCTAAAGACCCCACTGGCTTCCTCACTTAGTTCTAGTTCTTCTTCAAGGTCCTAGTCTCCATATTTTAAGCTACTAATGAGGTAAGATCAAACTATTTTCAAAACCTCTGGTCTTTCTGCTATATAATGTAGAATTCGAGACTTTTCCATGCATGATATAGAAAGATCCCAGCTTTCTTCAAAGGCTGACTGCCAGGGGAAAAAGATCAGCCCAGCTCACATCAAAATATCAGAGGCTGCAGTGGACATGATCCTAATTGGTGTCATATAGGACATGTACAGACTTTCAATTTCTCTTAGGAGATTCGTTGCTTTCCCAAGAGAATCCACAAATGTACAGATGTTGAGAATTTTTCTCAGAGCAAATATGGCCACTCTGAAAGAGAAAAACCCTGGAAACAACCAGGCTTAAAGCACTTCTGGGAGAGCAAATGTCTATACAACTTATCCTTCTAAAAGAAGCCACAGCACAGTCCTCCAGCATCCTAGCATGCTTTGCTCCCACCTCTCACCATGTCTTCCCCCCTAATCTTAGAGACAGTGTGTCATTCAGGCTGGACTCTACTACTCCAGCCAAGAAGGGAGAAGAATATGCCCCCATCACTTCCATTATGCTGCAGGGAGATACAGACTAACACTGAGCAGTCTGCCCTGTGCACTGCTGCCACCTGTCACCAGGCAGACTGAGGAAGCCTGCAGAGCATACTGAGATATGGTCACAGGGCCCCCCACTGCGATGTGTGCACAGGGCCCCCCTGTGTGATGTGTGTACAGGATCAGCACTGCTAACTTTCTGCTCTTCAAGGGTTCAGCATTCAAATGTTAATTTGGCCACCTGTAGGTAAGTTTTTCTAACTTGAAAACAAACCCAGGAGAATTTCATAGGTTATTTGAATGTGTGTACACAGCCCTATAGTAAATGAACTATTTGGAGTCAGTGGCTACCTCCTGGGGGGAAGGGAAAATGGAATAGGCACATAAAGTAAATAATTGCTATTATATGGAGTAAAATGGAATAGCCACATAAAGTAAATAATTGCTATTATATGGAAGGAAGGAGGGAGTTATAAATTCTCCACAGGCCAGAAACTATTGAAACTCTTTGGAGGAAGACAGAGCTATAAATAACAAAGCAAATATAAATTGTGTTGGATTATCTGTCATCATTTTTAAGTACAGCTGAGAGGATGAAACTATATTTCTATATTTCCAACAGAACTAGGAAAAATCACTGACATAAGTTTAACATTAGATTCCATGGCAGAGAAGAGTAAAAGCCACAATGGACACATCTGTGAAAAATCTTTCCTGGTAGTCATCCAGGTGAGCACGGGGCAACAGCTATAGGAAATACTAAATGTATAAACGTGTGCGTATGTAATGTTCTGTATATTTAAACATCATATTCTAAATTTTCAAGAGTGGCCCCCCTTTTGGGAAGGCACAGTTGGCTGAGTGGTGGACCTTCTGAAAATTCAGTTATATATTTTTTTTGGCAGGTACTATAAAGTATCATTAAAATTCAGTAAACGATGTAATCTGCGTAAAGATTTCAACATATGGCACAAGGTTCATGTTTTGTATGGTATATAATCATCCATACAGTGTTTCTAATATTTAACAGCTATTTAAAACATTCCCAGCTTTAGAAGCAGTGAAATAGCATTCTTCTTTTTTGAGAACGTACATCATTCCAGTCTTAAAACATCCCTCCCTTAATGCCAACAGTACAGGACAGCTCTATTGCAGCTGTGCTCTCACAACCTTGAAATCAAATACTTCCTAAGAGACAAAATGCAAGGCTTAAAACTTATTTTATGCTACAAATGCACCCTCCTGACCAATCAAAACAGGCATTTTCAGTTTTATTGAAAAAATGTACTGCTTTGTGAACAATAGGCTGTGGTGATGTTGGATATTGCTGAAATCCCTAAAGAAGGCTATGCCTTCATAAACTAAAAATTCCTTTCTTTACAAACTGACACAAGTCACAGTTGTAGAATGACGAGTCTCTCTGAATATATATTCCCTAAATATTTTAGATGTCTGTTTCTTCAAGATACATTGCCTTGGCCAGGGTCTCCAGCTCTGCCCCTTCTCACTGCATAAGTTTTAAACAAGGTAACTATTTAAAACTTATAATCTAGGACAAATATATGAAGATACCTGTGCTGCAACATGTAAGATAACAAAAATGAGCTGAATATTTTGGCATCCTGTCTCATAGGAAAGTAATGCATTTTAGTCATCTTGGGCTAAGTTTTTTAAAGGAAACTAATTGGCCCAAGCATCTCACCATGGCACATGGCAACCATTTAGGTTCAAATGGTTTTTTTCAAAAGTTGAGTAAAGCCCAGTAAAATTCTGGAGCAGCACACTTACAACCAAATGAGAGGCTAAACCTCGATAGGTATTCAAATCAGGTTACAGCTTGCCTCCAAGTGGAATTTCAACAGGCACTGAAATAATGATAGTGGGTGTCTTCCGACCATGCTTAGGCATCTAAACAGCATCTTGAATGGGAATGGAGATACTTACCGTAGAAACTGGGCTCCAAAATGTATGCATACAAGAACTGCATTAATCCATCAACTGCTGTCTCCAGAAATCTGATTAGACACTTACTGTAGTTTGCAGATAACACTTCAAAGACTCAAAGGATACACCCACACATGCAGGCACATGCACTTGAGCAGCAGAAACAGGAGTGGCACAAATTTGAGCTGGGATTTTTTGCCTCAGCGCACGTGTCCGGACATGCACTTTGGTGTGGGGCAAGTTATGCCACTTGGGGCAAAATAACCCTGCCCAGATCCTCCCGGATCTGCAGCCAAGGGGAGCTAGAGGCTGGGGCCAGCACTTGTGCTCCAGGTCCAAGTTCTCCAGGACGTTGAGGTGGTGCTGGGCTCCCTGCTGCACCTCCGGGTCCAAGTGCAGGGGCTGGTCCGGAACCTGAATGTGTACTCCCCTGTGAGAGACCCGGAGTTGGCGGACTTTTCTGGGGACTATGGGTGTGTGGAGGAGCTGGGCAGGAGGAGTGAGCCCCCTGCCCCCCGCCACAGTGTGTAGCCCCTCCGCACAGCATGTGGACTGCCCCCCTCCACCCAGGACTCAAAGCTTTGCCCCACAAGGCACATGTTCCCCTCTCCATGGCGTACACATGCCCCCACAGAGCCCTCATGCACCCCCCACAGGGCCCTCAGGCACCCCCCCACAGGACCCACAGCTCGCCCCCACAGCAGCAGCAGCTGTGGAGTGTGCTCAGGGCCTGCTGCAGCCAGAGCCCTGAGTGGCGCGGTGTGACCCTAATTGCCTCTGAGCTGGCGCCACTTGTGCTGTCTGTCACAGGACCGGCCTGGGCCAGCGTGGCATAACACAGGGCCATGTGGCTTCAGGCAGCACCAGGGCCGCTCAAGCTGTCACCCGGGGCCTGCAGCCACTCATGCAGGCCACGTGTCACACCACTCCAGGTCCTGCTCCCATGCCACACCACTGGGGGATCTGGCTGCAGCAGGCCATTCACAGCCCCCTCCCCCCACAATGCCACCCACCCCCCAGGCCCTACTTACCAGGGACAACACCCAGGTCACAACCTTGCACCACTCCTACAGCACACTAGGGGAGCAGGGGGCACCATAGAGATGCTGTGGCTGTGTGCCAGAGCATCTCTGGAGGTCCAAGCCAGGGCTTGCCAACAGGCACGGTGGGGAACTCTGCCCTGTGCCACTTTTCTCTGTGGTGTTTTTATATGATACCTGGAAATCCAGGTATCAAATTTTGAGCCAGCACTGCAAATATGCAATGTGGGGAACATGTTTTCATTCTTAGTGTGCCTCCTGCAGCGTCACAAACTGGTTTGAGATGCCACAAGAGGCACTTGTGTGCTCATCTGGACGTGCCCAAAAGAGGCAATGGATGGGACAGAAAAAAAAAAAAACAAGACAGACAGGCAAAAAGAGTAAGAGACTGGTTTGGAGATTTCCAGGATGGTAGGTAGACAGTGATTGGGTTAGAGATGCTAAAAATAAAATATGGGTACAGCTCAGATACAGTGGAGCTGAAGGCAACCCCTTTGTAAATTTGGCTTCTTGTGGGTAAAAGAATCCAACTGTTCTTCTGAACTTTACCACAGAAGCAGTTGGTTAGCAGAGGGATAGGTATACATATCTCCTCTGATCTGATAGTCACTAGTGACCCCTGTGACTTTCTAGGTTAGCAAAGGATTGTTATGGTGTCTGCCATTAAAGTATCACCTTCTCACATGGATGCACAGTGTGAAATGCATCAGCTTGTTGTCATTTCCAGAAATAGCTGTATTTCAGCAGTACTGCATATACATAATTTAATATCTTTTGTTTGCTTTGGGGAGAATGGTGCTGTATAAATGGAAAATGGTGGCACAGGTCTTTCCACCATGGCAAACTAGAAATACTACAGATCCTTACAAGTTTGAAAGTTTGAATCATTGCTAAAGCTGCCACAAGGGGCATTTATAAGGCTAAATCCTGAACTTCCCGAAGTAACTTTATTGGCATCAGTAGAATATCCAGATTTACATCATTGCAGGCAGCTGAGATCAGAATCTGGACCTTTGCCTGTGAAATCCTGCAGGGATTGGAGGAAAATGTGCATTAAATATAGAATAAGTTAATAGCAAGGTTCTGGTTATGTCATAAGCCAAGAAGCAACTCACTTGTGGAATCTGATAATTCCTGGGTATCACATCTGTGAATTAATTATCAGGTTCTACCAATGAAAGCAAAGGGAATGATGTCACTCCAATGAACCACCATATTTTTATTCATGTTTATAATATGTTGTTTCCAGCAGTGAGTCCCTGGCAAAAGTACAGCATCCACTTGGGAAAAAAAGATTGCCTCATATTGCAATGGATAAGTCCAATTTTTCCCCTAGTATAAAGGTACACTGAGGATAGTGATGTGCAAGATTTAAATGAGCAATAAGGCAGTATTAGTAGGAAACATTAAAATTATATTTCTTGCCCTTGGAAACCTTAAAAATTATATGTGTGTATGGCAAAGTTATTTTTCTTCCCACTACAATTGTAATCATTAAACTGGGCAGAAAACCCTGTCTATCTGTTCCAAAAAAGCAGCTTTCTAGATTCAAGCAGAACTGCTAAGCCCAGTGAAATGCTCATTCTAAATTCTAATCATTCTGAGATGCTAAGACAGCTTTGACCTAAAGGTGGAAAAAACAAAACCTCTTTCTTTCTCTCTAAAGCTGAGCTAAAAGTTTACAAGAACTGTTATAATTACATCATTTTAATTTTTTCTTAATGAATTTATTCACATTTATTCCAACATTCTCTGTATATAATTTGCAGTTCCTATGTTTGTTTCCACTACCTTGTATCGCTGTTATCTTGAATCTCATTTGGACTGTGTTCACACAGGAAATCCCATTAATGCACCCCTCCATAGATAATAGGTCTCTGTAAATAACAGTATGCAGAGCTGCATTCCTG